CACAGGGAGACAGCTCAAGGGACAGGAGCCCATGGAGGGATGGACACTGGGAAGAGGTAACTGTGGGGAGGAGGTGGGAGGGGAGCTGTTGCATTGTGGTGAACTGTGGTCAATGTCATGAGACAAAGTGTATATGAACTGCTGTATGGAAAGTGAATTTGCTCTGTAAACCTTCATCTAAATCACAATTAAAAAAAAAAAAAGCTTGATTTACATTCAACGATACATGTACATTTAGTTTCACTTCCCATTTACCATGTCCAACCCTAACCCAGTCTCCTCCCCTCCCTACCCTGTAACCCTTTCTCTGTACCCGCCATACTACACACTCCTGTTTGTCCTGCATTTCCCCAACCTGAAGGTTGGTCCTCTGGTGTCCCATGGTCCATTGCTCTAAGAGATGTATTACCATAGAGTATGTGGGTGCGTCATCCTGGGTTGAGTGGTCTGCATGTATATCTTGTTAACTGTTGGGCTGAGAGTCAGCCCATGGGGGTGCGTTTTATTCCAGATGCAGAATGTATTCCAGGGCCTTAGTATTGGGGGTCTCATCAGACTTCCTCGGACCAGTAATTCTGGTCATTATTGAGTTTTTGGATTTTGTTCCACGTTTTTCCTCCCACTCTATCCAGGATCTCCAGATTTGATCCTTTCCTGAGTGGTTGGCATTGGTAGCTGGGCACCATCTAGTTCTTCTGGCCTCAAGGGCCATGGTGCCCTAGGGCTGATTGCTTCCAAATGCCCTTTTAATTTTTTTTTTTTTTTTTTGCATTCTTCTCAAGGTGGTAAATCTTTATGATAGTAGATTGCCTCATCTTCCTTCCATGGAGGGGCTGGTGGGTTTGAACCACCAACGTTCTGGTTAGCAGTCAAATGCCTTAGGAGCTGCTCCTTAACTACACTAGAAAAAAAAAACCCACTACTATCAAGTTGACTCCGATTCTTAGTGACCTCCATTGGGTTTCCAAGGCAGTAAATCTTTATGGAAGAAGATCGCCTAGTCTTGCTTCTGCAGGGTGGCTGGTGGGTTTGAACCACCAACCTTCTAGTTAGCAATCAGATGCCTTACACACTGTGCTACCAGAGCTCCTTTAACTATACTAGAGAAGTACTGTTATATGCATTAAGACTTTTCCCCTGCTGGTCCTTCTATCTGAACACTCCTCCCCCAAGGCTGCATGGCAGGCTCTCTCCTGTTATTCAGGTCTCAGCTCCAATGTCACCTGGTCAGGGAGGCCTTTCCTAAACATTCAAGCTGATTAGTTTTCCTGCCCCACAATCTCATCAGTGTTTCAGTTTGTGTTCTACATAGTACTTTTACTTAACATTAGCACGTTTGTTTATTAAATTGTTTCTTTCCTTTAAAACATGAGCTTCATAAGAGGGAGACCTTGTCTGTCTTATCCACAGTCGTTTCCCCAGTGCCAAGAACGAAACTCAAAATACCTGGCATAGGTGCACAATAAATGTCTATTGATTATAAATTTAAAAACAACAATTTATAAGATGTTATTCACAATTGCTTCTCAAATTTATGGAGTGGACTCCAGTAGTTGTTCTTCATTTTAATAACACGTGAACATATTCTGCCTTATAGATGTGACAGGATTTAATTAATCCTCCATGCTCAGCAATGTAACTTTTACAATTTTTTGGTACTACAAATAGAGCTGTAATAAACACCCTCCTACAAACACACAAATCTTTATGCTCATCTTTGATTATTTTCTTAAGATAAACTAAACCTCTAAATTAGAATGACTGGGTAAAGGACAAGGAGCATGGTTCAGGCTATTAGTACCTTTTGTTAATTTCCAGAAAGACTGAACAGCAACACAACAGTATCTCTTTTCATTGAACACTTAGGAGGAAAACTGCCATCTTGAGAGCTTAAGATTTCTCACAAGTTTGTAACCTGCCTCACTTTTGTTCACTTTACCCTGCTCCCCTGTATTTATTAAAGACAGCTCAAACATGCTTGAAACTTCCAAAAAGAAAAAAACTTGAAGACAAAATAAACACACACACACACACATACATATATGTATAGTCTTCTACTAGGTGCTAAACTCAAACTTGGTGCTTTTTATATATCATCTCCTTTAGTTTTCTGGAGGTAGTCTTTAAAATCCTTGTTTTTCCAGAGTCAGTCTCTTCTGACTGCAGACCTCTGGTTTCCATGTTAAGGAGCTCTGGTAGTGTAGTGCTTAAGGCACTTGACTGCTAACCAAAAGGCTGGTGGTTCAAACCCACTGGCCACTCCTCGGAAGGAAGATGGGCCAATCTACTTCCATAGTGATACTGCCTCAGAAACCCAAGGAGGGGTCGCTATGAGTCGGGTCCGACTCGGCGGCACATAACAACAACAATAACAGAATGTTAAGTTTCATAAGGGCAGAGACCTTCTCTCTCTTATTCATGGATAAGTCACTGTCTATGGCACATACAAGAGACCATTCCCTGGAGCAGTTTATCATGCTTGGTAAAGCAGAGGGTCAGTAAAAAATGGGATCGCCCTCAATAAGATGGACTGACAGTGGCTGTGGGCTCAGGTATAGCAAGGAATGTGAGGCCGGCACAGGACTGGCAGTGTTTCACTCTGTTGTACAGGGGGTCACTATAGTCAGAGCCTACTCAACAGCACCTCACAGAAACAGCAACGTGGCATATGGTAACCAAAAACCAAACTAGTTGGCATCTAGATGATTCCTAGTCATAGCGACCCCATGTGTTTCAGAGTAGGATGCTGAGGAACCCAGGGAAAAGAACCATGACGCTGCCTGGGCTGAATCAGAAGGGCTTCATGGAAGCAACGATCAGATGAGCCACGAAAGATGAGAAAAAGTCAAGTCCAAGAGGCACAGGACAGAGGGATCATCCAGAATGTGCAAAGCACAGAAATGTGAGACAGCATACTGTATGTGGAAAATGCAAACAGTTTAATATGGACTAGCACATAGGTAGGAACTCTGGTGGTGTAGTGCCTAAGGCATATGACTTTTAACCAGAAGGCTGGCGGTTCAAACCCACCAGCCCCTCCTTGGAAGGGAGGCTGGGCAATCTACTTCCGTACTGATACCACCTCAGAAACCCAAGGAGGGGTCACTATGACTTGGATCTGACTGGACAGCAGTGAGTTTGGGTTGGCTTTTTTTTTTTTTTGGCACACAGGTGCATAATGAGTACAAAGAAAGAAATGGTGCTGAAGTGAGAAGCCTGGAACAGAATTAAAAATCTGCTATGCCTCAGACATTGGAATTCCTTCTGTAAGTAGGGAAACCACTACAAAGCTTTCATTTGAGGATCAGTGTTTGCATTTCCCAAATTCATAATGAGAACAACATGGACAAGAAATTAGAGAAGGGTTGGGCTGGAAAGTAGGGAGATCAGAGTCTTCTCGAAGGGAAAGTAGGATAGATAGGATAAAAGCAGTGAAAATGAAAGGAGAGTGGGTTTGAAGGTTATATCAGAAATAGAACTGATTCGATTTGATGATGGGTTAGATTTGGAGGAGGGAAGGCAGAGTTAAAGGTGATGGCCTGACTCATGGGTGCCATTAAAAAATAGAGAGCCCAAGAGAAACAGATTTTTTTTTTTTTTAAGGAAGATAATTCGAATTTAATACGTCTAATTTGAGATATCTTTGGGACTTCCAACTAGATCTCCCCTGGGCATGTGAATGTGCAGATCAGCTCAGAACACGGATCTGGGCTGGAGACAGGGACGTGGGAGCTATTATTTCTGGGAATGGGGGTGAAGGACAGTTTCCTTAAATCCTTGTAAGCAGGCTACCAACGATCATGACGATGGCACAAGACTGGGCAATTTTTTGTTCCTTACACAAAGGTCGCCATGAGCTGGTGCCAAATTAGCTATACGGCAACTAACAAGACGGTAGGAAAGGCAAGTAATTAATTCAGCCATTAATTAGATAACATAATTAATTAAAGAATGTACATTGTGTGTCAGGTCCTGTCCTTGGTGATGGAAATAAAGACTCCAGAGAAGGTGACAATGAGACAGACAAGTCAAGTCAGTTACATTAGGAGGTAGAAATGCACAGAAAAAAAACCTGAAAAAAGTAACTGCAGAACAAAAATTTTGTAACTACACGCTACAGAAAAGATACAAAATACAGACAGGCACAAAACGATTACAATCCCACCATTCGGAGGAAACCAGGCTAACAATTTGTAATATCTTCTCAATTTGGTATACTATTTTTTAAAGGCAGACGCCCTCTACTGTTTTACAAAAGAACAGCTGAATTATTAAAGGACGTGGCGCGCGGCTCGAAGAAAGCTTCCCAGACGCCGGTTTGGGGACTTGGAATTAACGGAATCGTATTTCAACGGGTGAAGACCATGGAGAGGGACGAAAACCATGAGTTCCTCTTCAGAGTGAAATGACTTCTCTGCGAAGAAAGTTAAGAGGCCAGCAGGGTGAAGACCGGCGGTCACAGGAGCCTCAAAAGCGCACCAGGTACCTGAGAGCGAGATCCGAAGCCGGAGGGGCTCAGGATCTGTCGAGGGCGTAGCCTTTGGGCGCAACGTCACATTTCCCTCTGTCTGGCGGCCCATTGGTTCTCTGTTACCGCCCTTTTCCGGGGCAGAGAAACCAGTCCGAGAGCCGGAAGTGATGCAGCTCCCGAGTTAGAGAGAGCGGCGGTGTTTAAAGCAGAGGGACTTAGTGCCATTGTAGGCAGCCAGCTTTTCCATTAGGCTCCAGCCCAAGCTAGAAGACCCCCAGAATCCTGGTGGCCTGTGACAAGGAGCTAAGTCGAATCAAAAAGAATCCGACGCACGTCGAAATAATCAAGCCACCGACCAGTCGGGGAGCCTCACTTTGGTGGAAGAAGCGCAGAAGAACCGCCCTTGGGGCGGAGCCCTCCGCCCATGGCCACGCCCCCGGGAGCCGGTGCTGCAGCTCTGCGTTTTGCTGCCGCAGCCAGCTGGCAAGTCATGCGTGGACGCCGGGTGGCGCTGTTTCCACAAGTACTGGAGTTTCTGCAGTCCCTCCGCTCTGCTGCCCCAGGCCTAGTTCGCTACCGGCACCATGAACGCCTGTGTATGGGCCTAAAGGCCAAGGTATTGGAGCCAGTGGAACCAGGGCAAGGGGTGGAGACGGGATGTGGGCGATGCGAGGACCTGACAAGGAACAGCTTGTGGTGAGATCAGCTGAAAAGCGCAGCTTGCCAGGCAGTGGGAATTCTGAGCTCAGTACCCTGCATTCCTTCACAGATGGTGGTGGAATTGATCCTGCAGGGCCGGCCGTGGTCCCAAGTCTTGAATGCCCTGAATAACCACTTCCCAGAGTCTGGACAACTAGTGTGGACTCCCAAAACTGTAAGGAGTCCCTGCCTGGGACAAGCCCTAATTCTATTTACACTTGATGCTGCAAAGTTGCCCCTCCTCCCAATCACTGGACTCTGATGCCCCCTAACTTTTCTGCCTTCCTTATATTCAACAGACAAAACAAGATTTGACGAAGATCTTGGAAGCACAGGAAACCTTTTGTCATCAGGTTAAGCAGTTGGCAAAGGACCGTGTGGATTTGGCCTCAAAGCTGCAGGTGAGACTGGTTGTTTTGAAGATTATCATGTAGCTCCTGTTTTCTCTACTCCTGGTCTAATCATTCTTTGTCCCTGCAGGAACTGGAACAAGAGTATGGGGAACCTTTTCTGGCTGCCATGGAAAAGCTGTTTTTTGAATACTTGTGTCGTCTGGAAAAAGCACTACCTGCACTACAGGCACAACAGGTTTTGTTGGGGCAGAACACCTAAGTGCAGCATATGGGCTGGTTCTGTCAAAGACTGTGATCTTCATGCCTCTCTTCTTGCCCACAGCTTCAGGATGTGCTGAGTTGGATGCAGCCTGGAGTTTCTATCACCTCTTCTTTTGCCTTGAGCCAATATGTTGTGGACATGGGGTGGCCACTTCCAGGTACCAGAACCATCTAGGACAACTAGGAGTTTGAGGGTGTGTTATTTAGCATGAGACCTTTTGGGACAGCCCATTGGAATAGCTGCATGGGCCTGAGGTGAAAGAAGCCAGACTGAGTTATCTGTTCTATCTGTTCTTTTTATAAGGAGCCTTATTTTTTGTTCCAGAGTGCTCTATTACAAATTCAGTGACCATGACAAAGCCCATGAAGCCAAATCCTCCTCAGCAACCAAAACTAGCACTCTGCAGTTCTCTGCCAAAAGCCAAGCGTAGCCCATACCTTCCTCAGGAACCAGCCTCAAAGCGGCATCCAGAACCCTTGACTGGCCATCACTTCAACCTGGCCCCTATAGGCCGGCGAAGAACCCAGTCTCGATGGCCGTCCACTAGAGGGGGCCGTAAGGAGCGCCCCACAGTCATGTTGTTCCCCTTTAGGAATCAGGGCTCATCAGCCCAAGTCACAACTAAGCCTGAGAACAGAAGGCAACATGGCACACACACAGCAGATCCAGCAGGTGCTGTGGGCACAAGGACAGCCTCCTCTGCAAAGCCCAAGAGTCCATCCCAAGCCTCAGGGGAAAGAGCTCTAAAGGATAACGCCGTTGACTCAACTGCATCAGAGCAGAAGGAGTGAGTAGAACAGTTACTTCTCCCTACTAGGAGCACGTTGCTTTACTACTTTCCCTTCACCCCATCTTCTTTGCTTGCTTCCACCTCAGGAATTGCTTGGATTGTGCTCTGGATCCCCTGAGACTGTCATTATCTCCTCCTAAAACCAGGAAGCCAGGTAGGTATCACAAGTTAGGAGTGGGTCAGATGGCCTCCTTTCTTGGGAACTCTAAAAAAAAGTCTGTGTTCACCTACAAGGAGTAGTTTGACTCTGTTTTCCCTCCTACAGCTAGATCTCCATCTCAGGGCAGCCCTCTCATTACCATAGGGGACTTGGTTTTAGACTCTGATGATGAAGAGAATGGCCAAAGGGAAGGGAAGGTGAGTAGGAAGGAGCAGGAAGATGGAGAAGGGGATGGGCAGAACAACACTGAGGAATCCATCAGCTCCGGGACATGGAGGGCTCAGGAAGTGATTGAGAACGATGACAGGATCTCCCTGCTGCCTTCTCCACAGGAGTCTCTGGGAAACTATCAGAAGACGAAGTTTGACACCCTGATCCCCACCTTCTGTGAATACCTCCCCCCTTCTGACTCCGGTGCTATGCCTGGCCCTTCCCATGACCATAGAGACAGCTCTACCCCTTGATAGGACCAGAATGCCATCTATACTGTCTCCTTCCTCCTCAGCCATACAAGCAGTTAAGTGGGGATGAAGTAGAAGCCCAGGATGGGTTGCCTGACTATGTTGCTGAACTACCTGTGTAATGGACACTTGGTAATTAAACTATGGATTTATTAAAACATCATCTTGAAGTGAAAGAGGGGAGTATGGGCTTTCAAAATGTCAGTGTAGGTCATTCCCTAGAAACAGAACTGACCTCTCCCTTTGCCTTTTTATCTCCTCTAGAAAGTTGTTCACATGTGCCCAGATATGCTACCAGGGTTGAGTCTGGAAGAGAAATGTCCTGTATGTCAGAATAAACTTTGTAAATTTTCATGCTGCCACATTATCTGAGGATGATAGTGCTAGAAACATACATTTCATGGGAAAATTGCATACTGTCCTCTATCCTACACTGCAGATGGTCAGTGCCAACCCGACGTCCCTCATCCTGGAGCACCCAGATGTCAGCCTTGTGCAAAAAGCCCTGGCCTCTTTATAGTCATTGGGATGTCTTTCCTGGGGTATTTCAATTATGTCAACACTGCTTTTTAGGTAGTCAAAGGTCTCATTTAATGAAGATTAACAAAACATGATTCTAAAAAAAAACCTCCCTCTTCTAGACCAAGATCATATAAAACACTTGTTTTGAGTCAGTGTCTTTTCTTTTAATACAAATCTTCAGGATGCTGGGTTTCCAGATTCCAATCCAATTTCATTTTCTCAGACTGTTTCCTTCCTTGCTTCCTCCCCAGTGAGCACCCTTGGTGTTTCGTGGGTAGAGAGAGAAGTGAGTTACTGCAGAATGGGATGACAAGCAGCCTAGTAATAAATAGCTGGAGAAGATGGAACTGGCGAGGGGCCCACTTGGGAGACTCCTTGGTAGAGTACTAGTGCCTTGAGGGGGCAGAACTGCTCAAGTCTAGTGCTCATCACTGAAGATCGGATTCACCTGCTGGGTGACACGGATAAAGGTAGTTCTCCGGCTCAACTCCTTCAGCTTAGCTGCTCCCACATAAGTACACGTAGAGCGGATCCCTCCAAGGATGTCTCGGATGGTGTGTTCCACGTCCCCTTTAAAGGGGACCTCCACTGTCTTCCCCTCTGAGGCCCTTGGAATAAGAAAAAAGTATTACCTTCTCCTTCTGGCTTCCTTACACAGTGACTCTTCCCCAGTCTCTAGATTTATTTAGCCCCTGTTTACCACATTCCCCAAAAAACTACTATCCATTTCCCAGCAGACATGAGTTCTGTCACCACTCTATGTAGTCACACTTTCCAAAGAATCCTCAGCTCCTGGGTGTCCATACATACCTATACTCAGCCACACACCCTGCATACTTCTTCATGGCCATTTCAGAACTCATTCCATAGAAGAGCTTATACTTCTTGCCATCCCTCTCGATGAGCTCTCCGCCTGACTCAGTGTGTCCTGCGAGCATGCCACCCAGCATCACAAAGTCAGCCCCGGCCCCTGTCAGCATCAAAGAGGGGAAAGGGATGACTGTGGCCCTGATACCCACATGCTTACCCTCAAAAATAACTCACATCAAATTCTCAGTCCTCTCAATGATACAAGCCTCTCTCTGGTCCTGTTTCCTTTCTGGCCCAGAGTCCCACACAGGCTGCTTCTGTTCTGGCCTCGACTCCTCAGTGGACATGATTTTCCCAAGAATTTAAAAGGAGCCCCTGAGACTTCCCATCCACCTTCTGCTCTCTCCTTTTTGCTACTTTTCCATCTTCTGGTCATTTCTTTTTACTTCAAGTGTCCCAGAAACAAAGGTCTCCAACTTTAGTGTAAGGATCACCTGGGAAACTATGAAAAATGCAGACTTGCAGCCCCATTCCACAGGCCTGGAGTGGCCCTCAGGAATCTATAGTGTCCAGCATCTAGGGGACAGTGTGGATGGTACTGGCCCACACTTGTAGAGTCCTTATCAGTCCCAGGATTTGTCCTGATGGCTTATCCCAAATGACACTACAGGCTTCAGGGTAATTAATGGATATTATAAAACAATCTGAATGGCTTTCTGAGCCTCCCCTAGCCTAATCTCAGACCCTTATGTCACTTAACCTCACCTACAGCATCTTCTTTTCTGTGTCCTCCCAACCACCTTACCAAAAGCCTTGGCCACATCCCCAGGACAGCTGCAGCCGCCATCCTGCAAAGTGAGGAGTATTATTAGGGGACAACAAGGACGTCCCATCCCTTCTCAGCAGTGCCCCAAAGGCCCACCTCAAAGTTGGCAGGAACCCAGGAGTCCTAATCCACCTCAAATACCACAGGCTCTATATCCAGTGGAAAATCCAGATTTCTGGCAGCCTTATGTCCCACCCTCCCCTGGGCCTTACTGAAATGATGTGGCCTTTGAGGCCATGAGCAGCATCTGCACACTCCATCACTGCACTGAGCTGCGGATACCCTACTCCTGTTTTCTTCCGTGTGGTACACACAGAGCCTGAGAAGAACATGACAAGGATGAGACTGAGTTGCTCCACGGATGCTTGCTGCTGTAGGGGCATTACAGTGAACGAACCATCTTACCTGGCCCAATGCCTACTTTGATGATGTCAGCCCCAGAGAGGATCAGCTCTTCTACCATTTCTCCTGTTACCACATTCCCTGCCTGAGACACGGCAATCAAAACAGAGCATCCTTGGGGTCAGAAAGGGAGAGGAGGTTGCATGCTCTTGCATATGGTATGCATGGACCATGACCTTCCGACAACGTTGCAAATAAAAAGTACCTGGTCTCCCTCTACTGGACCCATTGAGGGCTTCTAGACTAGCCACTTCCAAGGACCCTGCTCCCCTTGAGGTGGGGGGGTGAGAGGCCAGTGTCACTGTTGCACTAGGATAAAGCAACAAGGTGCTGCCATCAACAGGACAACATAGGAAGCGTGGAGGAGTTGTCAGTGAAGCAAAGGGAACTACTGGACCAAGCTCAGAGGTGATTTAGAGTACAGTTATCTCCTCCCCGCCATAAGACCCAAACATATCCTGTCCTTAAGCCATTCTATTAAAGAACCTCTCTGGCTTCAGGGAAGGGAGAGGGGGAGAAGAGAGTAATATCCATTGCCCAGCAATATTTCCTTTTAAATTATATATATATATATATATATATATAGCAGGAGCTCTGGTAGCATAGTGCCTAAGGCACTTGACTGCTAACCAGAAGGCTGGTGGTTCAAACCAACCAGCCACTCCTCGGAAGGAAGGTTGGGCAATCCTACTTCCGTAGTGATACTGCCTACTGCCTCGGAAACCCAAGGAAGGGTTGCTATGAGTCGGGGCCGACTCGACGGCACATAACAACAACAACAACAACATATCTTCATGAGACCCCTTTTATATGACTAATGCATGTTCATTTCACTGGGCAGATGTATATGTACCACAGGTGTCTGCAATGCATAGGTGTTCCATCATGGTTTGGTGAGTGATGGTTGAGGCACTGGATTGACAAAGACTGTGAGTTAAGGGGTCTGAGATATTGATCAGTAAATAGACATTTTAAGCATGAAACCATGGAAAATCCCCCAGTGATATGATTAGGTGGACAAGGAATATTAAAATGCAGCAACAGAGACATGAACTTATATATAACAAAATGGAGTGGCAGGAAAGAGTGGAAGAAGGCAGGAATATAACAACTACAGGGTACCAGAAACATACCATGATGGTGTGCTGGGGGAAGTGCTTCCGCACATCCTTTACAAATTCAACGAAGTGTTCCGAGTAGCCATTTGCCACATCTAGGCAGATACAGTTCACCTGGGGGATAGCTTCCAGAATCTGTTCCAGCTGTTCAAAGTCAGAAGGGCCTGTGCCTGAGCTGGCAGCCAGATGCTATGGGGGGAAAAAGGCCATTGGCATGGGAGACATTAAACCAGCTTGTGATGTCTTATCAGAAATGATCTGGTGAGCAAGCATGGAGAAGTGAGATTTGGTCCCAGGAAGACAAAATAAGATTCTCAGAAGACAGGGAAGGGAGCAGGGTAGACCCACTATTACCTCAAGACAGTCAGGATTCTGAGTAGCAAATTCTTTCCACTGCTCGAGACTATAGTGCTTATGGACAGCAGTGAAGAGGGAGAACTGGGGAGAAAAAAGAGCCATCAAAGAGAAGAGAACTTCATTAGGAGTCTTTTTCTAGAAATAAACCTTTATGCTATTCTGTCTGTGGGAGAAAAGGGTCGAAGTTTGGAAAGAAAGCAACTTGAAGAAGTCAGCAGTTGAGCTGGGATTTTAGTTCAATCATTTTTTTTCCTACCAATCCCAGTAAGGCTTTTCACTGTATGCTAGTACTTGTCTAGTACTCCCACCACAAAGTACTGAGTCATCTGGATTGGATTTCACTGACCAGCACCCACTTTGCTTCTGAGATAACAAGGTGCAGTGGGACAAGCAGCAGACATGGAAGAACATGATGAGGCTGGAAAGAGCCAGTGTCTGCCTGCATCAACTCAGTCACTCCTATGGTAACCTAGTACTAAACTAACCTATTTTGGGTATCTTCTCATCCATTTATCAGCAGTAATTCAGTGAATCTATATACTCAAAAAAGATTAATCCCAGTTAATCAATACCCAGTTAGTGCTACCCAGTCTTTTCTCCACCTCCACTGGAGTAAAGGGCAAATTTTCATGGAGCAAGTGGAAAAGTGTATTTCATTCCATTGATTTTAGTTAACCAAGTTCAAGTATAGTGACTCTTTCATCACACTCATATTCCCTAGCTCAATAAATTCAAATCGATATTCCAATACTTTGAGAAAGGCATTCAAAGGCACTCTGAATGCCAGTGTTTATGCTTTGAAAGTGCACACATGCAAATAGACAAGAGACATCAGTTGGCTGAGAAAGCACAAATCTTGTAACTGACAAGAAACTCAAGAAGTCATGTATCAGCCAACAACAAGGAAGTGTTATACTCAGAGATTGTCATCAGCACTACTACTTAAAATTGGTATCAAATCCTGCTTTTTCAGCAACCCTCTGCCATCAACATAAGACTAACATAGACTAAGAAAAATCACCCTAGGAAGTCAGCACACACTTTCTTGGAAATAGACTGGCACGGTGTAGCATGATGAGCACATTTCAATATATACCTAGCTAGAGGTCTAGAAAAGCATGGTTGCTTGCATCCAACCTTTTTATGATTACTGTGAGACTTGGCTCTATTTCTAAAATCTGGTTTCTATTAGCATTCATTAGCAATACTGAAAAGCCATTCTCAAAGCATCAAAACAGAGTCCCTAACAAGGTCCAGGTGTTATAGCATGTCTGTTAGCATTGAGGTCAGATTCAACATTCCCCAGCTCTACTGTACAGGGCAGACAGACAACAGATAACAGCAGGATTCTTAAGCAATTAGTGAATGGGAACAGGAATTAAGCCTAATAAATTTGCATAACTATCAACCTCAGAAAAATGATAGACATTTCACAAAGATTTACAGCAATCAAAAACTGAGGAAAGGTAGATGAAGTCCTTGAGGTTAACAGAGCCACAAGTGTCAGTGGAATGTCAACCAAGGCTAAATGGATTAACCACCAGAATGCTGTTCTCAAAGTGCCCAGGTAACTATCTACCTTCTCCACTATAAGTATAGAGCCAGGTAATAATACTGACAGGAACAGCATCTTCTGTTTTGAAAGTGAACAAATATCTGTATATAAGAAAAATATATTGCATTTTGAGTACATCCCAGAAACTCCCAGGAACCTAGGACTTAAAAAAAGAGACAGAAAAAAAAAAAAGGATAGCAAGCATAAAAGAACAATATATAAGTTACTTCTCTCTAGGATCTTCTCAGGAATTTTTAAATGCTTAATCAGCACTTAGTTTCTGGACTAAAACAGTGACTAGTTATGCTGAACAGTGATATATCTGGAGGGATGCATGGAATTGGGAGAGGGTGGCCTAGGCAGTGGGAAAAGTTGGCAGGGTATATTAATTGCTGGGCGGGATAAAAGGGAAAGTTCTATTCATTTCTCTGAAAAAAAAAATTGGGGCAAAACTTAGCCTTCAATCTCATGAATTCACATGGTTCTTTGTGAGTAAGTCACATTTTATGTAGAAATTCTTAATCCATTTGCATATATGGCTATGCACTACAGGTTGTTGTCAGATGCTGTCAAGTCAGTTTTGACTCAGTGATCCCATGTGAGAGTAGAACTGCCCCATAGGGTTTTCTTGGCTGTAATCGTTACAGAAGCAGATCAGCAGATCTTTCTCCCACACAGCAGATGGGTGGGTTCAAACCACCAACCTTTCAGTTAGCAGCCAAACAATGATTTGGGCTACCAGGGCTCCCTTCACATGGCCTTTAAGCCTATCAAATAAAGGACTTTAAATTGGAGCATCCTGACTGCCAAATGCCAGAGAGCTGACTGAGGTGGAGGTGGGGATGCAAACACCCCTGTAGTCAGCTGAGGTAACTGGACACCATAAGAAAGAGGTAAGACCTACCTTACAAAGAACCTTGGCCATCTCAAAGGTGCCCACAGTGTCCATATTGGCTGCAATGATGGGGATCCCTGTATACATCTGCTTTGAGTTCCGAAATGAAAAAGATTTTGTGAGATCCACCTGCAGATATCAAAAGGAAACTGTTAGTATTTAATTCATCCAGGAAACATGTATTGCATGAGAGCAAGAGCCAGGCATCTCTCTCTGTCCTGGCCCATCAGGAGCCTAAGGTAAACAAAGGGCAACTAGAGAAGCAGGCTCACCTCACTTCGAGACTTAAGAGTGCTGCGTTTGGGCCTCAGCAGGACATCCTTGAAGTCCAGTTTCACATCGTTGTCGATGTGAGGCATGGTGGGAGTCTCAGGGTAGCGATGAATCGGAGGGCTAGAAGGTAGGAAGTCAGGAGAAGAAAAGTTAACCAGTCTCCCTTTACGCCTTAATGTCCTATTAGGGTTGGGGCAGCCCTGATCCTTCTCCTCGTTTCAGCTGTCACTGAAGCCTGTCATCTCTGACCCGTCCCATGGTTGCAATTACCCTCAGTGGAGATCTCTATACCATGTACTGTTTGTTGAGGAGAATTGGGAATGGGTCGTGAGAGATACAAAAAGGGTGCATGCCCTACTCCGCTACTCTTTTACCATCCCTGCAAAGAACAAATTAGGATAAGAGATTTCGCTATGCGAAGGAACAGAGAGTACTATAAACAGTTTCCGGAATAAGGGTCCCCACTTCCTGTTGCAGTGGCCGAACTGGCAGTTGACCGAAGCTCTCCTTGCCTAGCAACTGGCTCCGTGCAGTTCTGCTGAGCCCTTTGGGCCACGCCGACAGATTCCGCTACTTACCAGTGAGAAAAACTAACCGAAAAATTCCAGCTTGGGCGGCGAATTTGCGAGGCCTTCTGGGAAACAGAGTTCACACGCCGCGGTTGCCATTGAATCTGAGGGCCAGGAAACTACAACTCCCAGCGTGGAACTGAGGGAGCTGCCTTCTGGCATGCTGGGAGATGAAGTTCGTTCTCCTCCCGCTTTCGCTAGCCTAGACGCAGTAAGGCCACTCAGTATCGCGGAGATACACGTCTCTACTGTAACTAAACTGGCTGCCTTCTTTTTATTTACCATACACTGAAACGAAACGCGGGAGAATTCCTGACCCTTTTAGGAAACCCCGTGAAAGAAAAGGGGTGGAGCCAAATAGTGGTGACCCGGAAGCAGAAGTGATTTTCCACAGGACGAGTGCTGGAGAGAGGCAGCGGTGACTGCAGCGGTAGGAGCAGGAGTTTGCCCGTGTGCAGCCCAAAACTGGGAAGAAGATGCTAATTAAAGTGAAGGTGGGAGCATCTCCACCCTTGCCAAGACGCTGGGGCAGTGGGATGGCCGCTGTGCTTCTTACGGGAGAGCCGGGGAAGGAAAACCACTCCTTTCCCGAGCTTGGAGGGCGCTGACAACCTCTGGGTTCCGCGCGAGGGGTGATGGGAAGTAAGGGGACCCAGGAGGGCTTTGAGAGCTGGGACCTGCCCCATCAGACGAACCTCGGATCTCTGCTCCCCTGCTGTCTTGCCAAGTCGATGCCCTGGCCGCCTATATCTCTAGGTCTCTCTTTATTCGAAGCCAGCGGTTCATAAAAAAGGCCTACCATCAATTTGGCCCCCCTCTTTCTGGGATTCTTGGAATAAACTCTGCTCTCCATTCTTTATAACCAGGCTACCTTCTTCCCCCAGCCCCTAACATTGGCTGTCTCGGAGCACAGCGCAAAAACGTTAGCCTGAGGAAACCAGGGTCCTCCCAGGGACTAGACAGCGATCCTTTGCTGATGGTTGCCGAGGTATATAGTGTCTCAGCCGTCCTTACAGGAACCAAAGCTGGGAGAGTGTTCAGTCAGCACCTGCCTTTCTGAGCCGGGCATCCTGGACCTTGACTGAGGCAGGTTAGTTACCGGTGCCCTAGTTCTTGGTTCTAGCAGGTGACTTCAGTGTTTCCTTCATCTCTACTCAACTCTTGTGGTTTTTCTTCATTTCCTTCTTTACTAATTCCCAACCCTTGTTATTTTTGCCTGCTGTTTCTTCATTTGTACTTTCAGGGAGAGATAAAAACTAACAATTGATGCAGTGCAGTGTCGATTTGTACTGCTAAGTAAAGTCTGTCATTGTTAGGTTCACCATATAATCTACTTTTTACCAGCCCTCCCACACCACCTCTTAGCTAAGGACTGAAGCCAAAAAGAGTTGTAAAATCAATTTAATAAGTCAGTGGGTCACAAGCAAATTTTTTTAAAAGAAGAAATAAAATAGAAAATATCAGTATACAGCTGGTAAGGTAAGGGAATTGTCCTTGAAATTTTTGTTTTCATTTTATGTGCATATTACATATTTACGTTCATATGTATTTCTTAGTGTGGGTCATTGTCAAAAATGTTTGGAAAACACTATCAGATAAGTGATTTTTATCTTCTTTCCAATGCATGTGGTTTCTCATGTCCTCTTCACCCAAAGAGGTTATTACTGTTGTATTCAGTGTTTTTTGAAGTTTTTTTTTTTTTTTTAATTTCAGCTTACACTTAAGTGTTTTACCTCATGACCCATGTACATTCACAAACAGTGTGTGATACATTTTTGATATTTTCATTTCTATTCTAAGCTGATTTCATAATCTACTGATGGGTTGAGACATGCAGTTTAAAAAAATGCACTGTTCTAAGTGGGGATCTTGTTAAAAAGTTGTTTCTGATTTATTGGATTAGGATGGAGCCCAAGATTCTGCATTTCTGTCATGCTCCCAGGTAGTGCTGAGCTGCTTGTCTGGGGACTACATTTTTGAGTAGCAAGCTTTTAGATCATCTCCTCCTGCTCTTAGAAACTTTGAATCCATTTTTATTTAGTACTTCTCTAAAACTGTCAATCTCCTTTCCCCACAACACTTTCCATGGTGTCTTCGTACAGGTCTTGTCTGCCCTCCATCTTTCTCTCTTAATTGTTTGCTGTATTAAAAATACGTACCTATATATATATACATATATATATGTATGTATGTATGTATGTATGTATTACACAAAGGAAAGCAATTAACTTAATAACTATATAAATGATAGGTTTTATTAGCAGAGTTCCTTTGTGAGTTATTTATTCTTCAGCTGTTGTCTCTGTGTAGCTGACTCATTGCATATCTTTCTGTAATCTTTTACAGCTAAGTCTCTGTTGATTGAAATCTTCTCTTGTCATCTCAATCTCTGTGGTTCAAAAAATTAAATGTATCATCTTCTATCTTATGCCATCTTCACAATACCCATCTTGCAATTGATTCCATCAATTACCAGGTATCTAGAACCCAATTCTTAGAGTCATTACTCTTCCTTTTTAATGCTTTTTCTGCTTGATTTTTCTTTCCATTACCATTACCTTAATTAATTAACTTGTGTCTTTATTTCTCTAAATAGAGTTTAAACCAAGATATAGCGTACAAAATCAAATCTTCCTTAAATATCTTTTTCTTCTGTTTACTTCCTAACTTCAAATTCTGCTTTGGTTTCCTCATTGCAGTTTATTTTGGGCAACTGCCTTTACTATCTAAGCTCCTTTTCTCATTCCTGTTTTTTAATGTACAATAAAACACATAATTCTTAGATTTAGTTCAGTGAGTTTTCAACCCATAGTACATACCCATATATATCACTGTAAGAACCAGGTATAGAACATTTCCACCCTACCCCCTGGCAAGTTCTGTAGGTTAGTTTCGGTTGTTTTAAAACTTTATATAAATGGAATTATACAATATATGAATTTTGTGTCTGACTTCTTTCATTTAGCATGATGTCTGTTGTGTATTGTCTTAGTTCTCTAGTGCTGCTATAGCAGAAATACCACAGGTAGGTGCCTTTAACAAACAGATTTGTTTTCTTACAGTTTAGGAGGCTAGAAGTCTGAATTCAGGGTGCCAGCTCCGGGGGAAGGCTGTTGATCTCTGTTGTCTTGGTAGGAAAGTCCTTGTCTCTTCTGAGTTTCCACTTCAGGGTAGTCTTCATATGGCTTGACATGTGTCTTCCCCTACCCATCTCTCTTTGTTCCTTTGCTTGTTCAATCCCTTATATCTCAAAACAGATTGACTCAGGACACACTTAGGGTAATCCTATCTCATTAACATAACAGAGACAACCCATTCCCATATGGGATTATAACTATGGACATAGAGATTAGGATTTACAGTAGATATTCCTGGGGAACAGAATTCAATCTGTAATGTGTATCTGGTTTTTTTCTTATTACTGAGTAGTAATCCATTGGATGACTAAGTAGTGTTCCATTCTGTTGTACATAGGCATGTGATAACAACATTCCATTGGATGACTATATCACAATTAGTTTATCCATTCTCCTTTTGCCAGACACTTAGATTGTTTATGGTGGTTGTAAATAAGGCTCTTATGAATGTGTTTTCTATGGATATATGTTTTCATTTCTCTTGGATAAATACCTAGGAAAGGAATTAGTGAATCATGTGGTAGATACATGTTAAAAAGAGTGTGCCAAATAGTTCTCCAAATGGTTGTACCATTTTACATTCCTACCTACAAAGTATTACATTCAGTTGCTGTGCACCCTTGCCAACTTTTCATTTGTTTTGATTTTAGCTGTTCCAATGGATTGTTGTTTTATTGTTATTGTTATATGCCATCAAGTCAGACCTAACTCATGGCGACCCCTCCTGGGGTTTCCAAGGCGCTATCACTACGGAAGTAGATTGCCCAACCTTCAAGGAGTGGCTGTTGGTTATCTTATTGAAGTTTAAATTGATTTTCACTCACCATAGCATTTTGTCATTTACCCCTTACATTTATAAAACAGTGTTCAGAATGGCACTTGTTTATACACTGTTTGGTTCTATTTTGTGTCTAATCATTTCTTGGTTGTAAAACTTCACTTGAAAATGATTGTTAGTGAAGGCTGAATCACTTATTTCTTTTATATCCCCTCCAGTTCCCAGAACAGTTGTTGGGCTTAGGTTCACTATACACTTACTTGGTAAATTGCCTTGGATGTATTGCCAAGTCACAATATCAGATCTGAGGAAAGAAACTCAAGATGATGTGATCTGTCAAGAATATCTTTTAAGTTAATTTCAGTCAATTAATTTAAGACAACTTTAATGATGGGAAATTTTAAACATATATAACAGACGAAAATAGGGTCTAATGTACCTTTCACCCAGCTTCAAAAATTATCATCTCATGGCCAATTTTATTTTATTTACACCCACCAAATCCTCTTAACTGATTTTTTTTATGTATATATATATATACATATACATATATA